CGTCAAGTCATTCAACACCACAAATTTAATATGTCCTTTCAGTGTTTCCTCTATGTTGTTCAAAATTTTCATATCGGTGCATCCCTATCCTTAATCATTTAAATATGTTTTCACTGTATAAACTACCAAGGATCTGTGTTGTGAAGACCTCAACTAGCTGTAACTACTGTAATCCCACCTCCTGTCCTCTAGGAGTAAGCAGACTGCAGCTGTCCCAGGACTGACAGTGGAGCCTCTTGCCCTAAACATCACACTTTGCCAGGTCATGGTGTTCTTCAGCCAGAGGCAGGGACTTGGTCGAGAGATAGACGGAGACTGGCTGACGCCTTTGAGAACGTTCGTCCGAGACACTCTGGGCAGCGGAGTAAAACTGAGCTACAGGCAGCTCCACATGCTGCTGGGTACTGTGTGGAAGATGGTGTTCACACAGAGGAGCAGAAGTAAGCATGTGTGAATGATTTTAATAAACACAAAAGTGTAAATTTAAAGATTAGAAGAGTTCAGTGTTACAGAACACACCCACAAATTGAATGGATATAAGTGTTTATTTCAGTGCTTTATAACAAGATTATTAGTATCCAGATACTAGTTTGTAAACTAAGTTATTTTTAAAATGAATATCTGTATGTGTGTTATATTTGTGCAGCAGTGACAGAGGACCTGTTGGCAGCGGTGTATATCTACTATAAGCAGAAGCACCTGATGCTACAGACACGATTGCTGCTGCTGTCTTTCTACAGCAAGCTGTACCTGCAGGAGCAAGGACACACACACATAGCAAGGTAACTTCAAGGTCCAGTGCGTAGGATTTAGTGGCATCTAGTGGTGTAGTTGCAGAAAGTCCCTCACTTCACCCTCCCTTATTTTCAGGTGATTATACACTAAAGGAATATATATAATAATATAGTAATGAATATTATTATATTACATTTTTGCCAATAGATCCTCCTACATGTTACATTTATATTTCAAAGAATCATTTGATAAATCTGATCAAATGAATGTGTGAATATTTAGTTAACAAAACTCACTTCCTCTTGACACTCACCAACTTTGTTAGCAATTATTAAAACTGTGCATTGTAGATATAAAATAAAGAATGCTTATGCGACTACACTCCTTATTCACCATCTACAATTCAGTTAGAAACTATTTTGTGCTGGTTGTTTTTTTGAACATTTACATTTCCAGAACATTGATCATGCTTTTTTCCAGTTTAAAAATTGTATGGAAAGCATGAATCAATGAAAGGGAGCAGTGAAGTGCAGGAAGGATTTATGATGATTGTGTGTTGTACTGTCTACATGAAATTTCCTCTTACTCAAGCTAATTCATCCAAGACGCACCCCCTGAAAACTAATAATTCCTATTTGTGTAAATGAAGCGGAGCGCTAAGAAAGAAACCAGTGTTCTAATCTTATTAATTTATAATTATAGCCCATAAAGATGCAACA